GACTCATAGTGATCCTTGTGTTTTCAGCCTCCCCAGTGCTGGAATTACAGGTGTGCACCACCATGCCTGGACTAGGTCACTGGCTCAGTCCCCCTTGGGGCAGGGCCTGCGTGATATATAGTACCCAGGATTGAACTCCGTTCCCTGCGCTTGCCTAAGCAGGTGCTTAGTCTGCTGAGCTATAGCGCCAGCCCAACCTCAGCATTTTTAAATTCTACATATAAATGAGATCATAAAGAATTTGTTCTCCTGTGCCTGATACTACTTCACTTAGCATTGTGACTTTCTGTTTTATCCATGGTGTTGCAAATGAAAATTATTTTTTTTTTAAGTTTTTAATTTTTTTTTTATTTTTTAGGGAAGGGTCTATAGGTTGTTCAGGGTCTCACTACTAGATCATACTCATAGTGATCCGCCTCATAGTGATCCACCTGTTTACAACCTCCCAAGAGCTGGGATTACAGGCATATGCCACCATGCCCAGTCTCAGTTGCTGTCTCAGCATGCCCCTGGGATGGGGCCAGCAAGGCAGGCCCAAGGATTGAACTTCTGGGCCCTATGCCTGCTTGCAGGCACTTTAATCCGCTGAGCTATTTGGCGGGCTTTATTTTTTTGTGTGTGCGTGTCTTTTTGAGACAAGGTCTCACTGTGCAGTTCAGACTGCTGTTGAGCTCACTTTGTAGCCCAGGACAGTCTCAAATTTGCAGTGATCCTCCTGCCTCAGCCTGCAAATGACAATTCTTTGCCTTTTAGTGCTACTCTATTTGTTCAGATACCTTGTTCTTGGCACATAATGCCTTGGCTTGGGGTGTGGTGCGGGGTGAGAACAGTTGTCAGAAAGGTGACAGTACTAAGCTTTCAAGGCCCTGGGTAGCTCCAAAACTTACCTTCATTTTACCTAGAAGAAAGCAGAGCCTGGCAAACTGAGCCATATAAAGGGCTTTTGTGTTTTTTATTGACTACTAGAATGCTGATACGAATTAGTTTTCCAGTGACCAGAAACTATTAAGCTGACAAAACCATCATACTAGTGAATGGATCCAAACTTTTTCTTTCAGTATGACATCCTCCTGGGAAATAATTAAAAGTCCCAGTCTAGCTGTAGCAACAGAGTTGGGCTGCTCAAGGATTCTCTGTTGTTGTTTTTTTAAATTATTTTATTACAAAACAATAGCAATGAGACAGTTTCTAAACGAATTAATAGGACAGTTTCAATAATTAATACATTGCATATTATTGTAGTGGTTATTCATAGTACAAGATGCAGGCATGATATCCTGTCCAGACACTATTAGTATAAATCTTTCTTCTCATTGAATTAATAGAAAGTAGCTATATATCTATCCTATTTTGAATATACAGATACAAAATGGTCCTTCCTTTGTATCCCCTTTTTTTGTTCAGTTTTGTCAGAGATGGGTAATCTATTGCCATTTAAATATTGTAGGTGCATGAATTCAGCAAAATAATCCAATATAGTCTGGTAGTCCATAATAGTAGTGGGTTATCCATAGGACTGGCAACGTCAGAAGTTATTGACTTGAGCCTTTTACATCTCAGCGTATTAATGTGGCTTTACTTTTTATACATCATTTTTATACTTTTCTGCTGGATGCTTAAGACCAAGATAAAGCAAGACCTATATAACAAGAAATATAACTTTTGTATTAGACAAGATCAGTCAAATCCCCTCAGGATTTATCCTGAAACCCTGTACTGCAGTTTATAGATCCTTTGTCAGTGTCAGCCATGTGTATGAGTCATGGCCATTGCTTGAACAATTTGCTGTCTGTAAAAGCCTGAGAATGTTTTTTCTCTGTGCGACTCTCCTTAGGCACACTCTACATCATTGATCACTCAAGGATTCTGTTGTCCAGTATTGGACTAAGCTCCCTCAGTTTCTCTTATCCTGAGGTGTGTCTGGTCTGGTGACCAAAGACAGGCCTTCAGTGCCCTCCTTTTTTGGCCAGCAGGGGATGAAGACTGTTACCTATACTCTTCCTGCAGGCTTTCCAGCTTTTGTCTTATGTCGCATGTTTGTTTATAAATCACATTGCAATTTATTTTTGCTGTCTTCATCATTAGGTAAAATAGGTCACTTAAAAAGAGTTATTTTCTAGGGTTTTCTGGCTGAAATTTTTCACTTACTCAACATAAGCAGGATAAAAAGAGAACAGTCCTGCTGAGGAATATTAGGGTCTTCTTCCATGGTTGTGTTGGGATGGTAATGTCCATTTAATTATGCAGAAAGTAAAAATAGGTACCACGTGGTGTGAATTCGTGAAGCCTGTACAACCTTCAGCTTGTTATAATCAACTCTGTTTCCCGCAGGTGTTAGCCAGAACAGAAGTGGCAGGGACCCTTCCTTGGTTGTTGCTTTTGTATGTAAGGTAAGAATATCTTTCCAGGCTGCGTTGTGAATGAGCATACAGCTGGTAACAGGGTGTTGCTGTGTTTGGAGCCTTGAGTCAACACTTCTGCAGTCTTTGGAAGATAGCGCCTCCTAAGTTGCCTTGTTGTAGCAATACAGGGGCTGGGAAGATGGCTCAGTAGAATAAGCGCTTCCCTGGCAAGTGCAAAGGCCTGAGTTCAGTCCCCGGTTCTGCCAGAAAAAACCCCAAAACACAAATACAGATCCCACTGATTTTTATATCCCTTCCACCTTGGTCTCTTCCTGTGTTTGGTCAGCCTGCATATGCATTTGATAATTTGCCTGTGACTGGATCCCTGGGAATTCAGAGTTAGAGGAGGCTGTGTTCTTTTCTTCCCAGTCAGGCGTTTATTCAGATTCCCAGTTTTGTTCTCACTTACTTCATGTCACTGTAGTGGTTACAGTACTGACATCAGATAGAGGTTAGTACAGTGTTTCTAGCCTTCATGAAAGCCTGGATCCACAATCTGAGATGGGTCAAATTACACTAAGAATGTCTATTACATATAGGAACAGATGACGTGCAGCTGTAGTCCCACTACTCCAGCTCATTGCGATCCACCTATTCACTTAGTGAGACCCTGCCTCAAAAAGCAGAAAGGGCTGGTGTCCTAAGGACTGAGTGGGTGGGGGATTTTCTTTTTTAAATCTTGTATTTATTTGGTACAGGGCTTCACTGTGCAGCTCAGACTCATAGTGATCGTCCTGTCTCAGTCTCCCCACTTTATGATTAAAGGCGTGTACCACCATGCCCAGTTTCTGTGGCCTGCACAACACACATGGGATCGGGTGAGGGGCAGCATGGCATGTGATACTGGGAATCAAACCTGGGTCTTTGTGCTTGCCAGGCGGGTGCTTGGACCACCAAGTTGTCTCCCCGGCCCAAGAGTGGGGTATTTATATTATAGAAAGCTGTTTCAAAATTTGACCAATGGCCTATATTTAGTAGGACTTCATGTTACAATTTTGCTTTATAACCTTTAGCATATATTTTTGCCTAATTTCTGGTAAGACTACATTATTCTTTTGTATGCTTTGATGGGGGGGGCTGTTAAAATAATGTTAATTTAAAAATATCCTTGGAATTTAATTACTAGATCATTTTCAGTATAATTTCTATCATCCAGTATCATTTCTATCAGTGTATTTAAATAAAAGTTATAATTTTTATACAAATTAAGTACTGTTGTCTGTAGATATTCCTTGGGTGGTTGAGATTTTAGACTCTAAGAAATCTTTTAAACTTACATGGCAGAGACTGGGTGTGGTGGCACACGCCTATAATCCCAGCTCCTGGCAGGCTGTAAACAGGTGGATCACTACGAGTCCAATCGAGTAGTGAGACCCTGAACACCATGTAGACCCTTTCCTAAAATATAAAAAATCCTTACATGGCAGTCTTTCAGTTGTGTTAGATGTTCTTCATGCTCTGGCCATGGGTTGTCCTCAGGCAGCTGTTGCGGAGCATACAACCTGATGCTACTGTGTAGCTGCAGGCTGCTTGCCCTGGCTTTTTTGTTCCTCCCTTGCTGCCTGGTGCTGCTTCTGAGGGATCTCACATGGTCAGCCTACTGCCCCCACTTCCCCTTCTAGGTAATTTGGTGCTTTGCAGCTAAGGATTGGACAGCAGTGTACTGCATTAATTCAAGTTCTGGGAGGTCAGAGAAAAGGAGCTCTGGCTCAAGGCCTGAGAAACCCTACCTGAGAGAACCGTGTGGTTTAGGTCACTCCTGGGTGGCTCGCAGGTATTGCTGGCTGTGTAGTTCTTGTCTGTCTCAGCACTGTCTGCTGTCCTCATTCAGGGGACAGATTTGTATGGCTGAAATTCAGCTGGCTTATGTGAGCAAAGTCTTTTAACATTAGAAACATTTAGTTTCCAGGGCCAGCAAGATAGCTCAGCAGATTAAGCACCTGCTTAGGCAAGTACAGGGACCAGGGGTTCAGTCCCCAGTACTGCATGCGGTGCCAGCCCCAGCCACCAAGACTAGGCGTGATGGTGCATACCTATAATCCCAGCAGTGGAGAGGCTGAAAACACGAGGATCACTGTGAGTCCAGGCTAGTAAATGAGACCCTGTACCAAATACATTTTTTTAAAAAAGAAAAACATTTAGTTCCCATCCTCAGACCCATTTGAGTCTGTGGAGAGAATGCTTACTCCATAGTGCTTGTTAATTAATGTCATCCCTAGGTGATACACACACAGTGAAGTATTTTTCAAGATGGGGGAGAATTCTAGAGTCCTGAGAATGAGACTTTGGGATCCAAACTTGAGACTTGGTTCTGAGAGTAACTCCTTAACTTCCAAAAGTTAAAACTAAGCACAAATAGTTTATTCAGATTTAAAGAAGAAAATGGAGATCAGATGTAATTCAGCAAAGATCTATTAATGTCTTAATGCCATTTTGACTTTTATGTATGTGAAACATGTAGACCCTAGAAAGTATTTTGACAGAAGCACCCATTGATCATGAGGCTTTGTGATAGGATTATTGTCAACATAATAAGAGCATGTTGGGCATTTGTTATTATAACTTTTCTCCTCTAGTATAAAACCAATAACATATTGGCCAAATATTTGAAAAATATAGGAGGTAAAAAAAAATCCCATCCATTTGGTTACTCACTGTCGTTAGAGTATTGTGTCCCGGCACTTTGTTTGGTCATTGCCTTGGTAAGTGCTGCTTTGGTGGCATTCCTTTAGCCTTTAATGGATGAATGTAGGATGAAAAACACAATCCTTGTATCCTTGTCTTTCTCCTGGAGGAAACACGAGGATACTCTTAATTTTGATATGGAGAAAAGTATGGAATTCAATATACATAAGTTTGCTTTTCTTCCTC